ACTTTGGGGCAGAGACTTTTTGACAAAACTGGGAGTATGTATCACAAATTTATGGTAAGGGCCACTGTCTACCAATTATCTGTTGCTTATGCCATTCCCTTGCGCTGGAAACGGGAGGTTCATCCCGTTTGGGTGGATCAGTGGCCCCTTTCAGATAAAAAGCTTACAGCGCTTAGACAACTAGTTACTAGAGAACTCCAGTTAGGACATATTGAACCCTCACTTAGCCAGTGGAATACTCCAATTTTTGTCATTAAGAAACGTTCAGGCGCCTTTCGCCTGTTGCATGACCTGCGTGCCGTTAATACTCAGCTCGTCCCTTTTGGCTCAGTTCAACAAGGAGGTCCTATCTTGTCAGCCATCCCACGAGAGTGGCCGATGGTGGTTATTGATTTAAAAGACTGTTTCTTCTCTATTCCTCTAGCAGAACAAGATAGAGAGGCATTTGCTTTTATAATCCCAATGATTAACAACGAGGGACCAGCAGAGAGGTTTCAATAGCGTGTCCTCCCCCAGGGAATGATGTGTTCCCCCACAATTTGCCAATTGGTGGTGGGAAGGATCCTGGAGGCAGTTCGAAGGGACTTCCCTCAGTATACAATTGCACACTATATGGATGATCTTTTGCTTGCAGCCCCTTGTTATTTAGGCTTGTATATGTTAGAAGATCGAGTAACAGAAGCCTTGACTGCGGCCGGTTTTGTTATCTCCGAGCAAAAAACTCAGAGGGGACCAGGAATTGAATATCTCGGGTATAAGTTTGGCCCGGAGATGGTACGACCAATTGGCCTTGATATTCGGCCCCATATTACCACCCTGTGGGATGTGCAGAAGTTAATAGGGGCAATCCAGTGGATTCGAGGGGCTTTGGGAATCCCACCTCGGCTTATGAAACCCCTTCATGACCAGCTTAAGGGATCAAACCCGAGGGAGCCTAGGAAACTTACTCCAGAAATGACTGCCGCATGGCATGAAATCCTACAGAATTGTATGAAAGCATTCCTAACGAGATGGGACCCTGATCGGGCTCTAGAGGTAGCAGTAACGAGATGTGAGGCAGGTGCAACTGCAGCGATAGGTCATTCCCTTGATGCTAAGCCCCGACCTCTATGGTGGCTGTTTTCCGTACAGCCCACACGAGCCTATACTTCCTGGCTTGAGATTCTAGCTATGTTGCTTAAGAAATCTCGATTGCTGCCACTGCGAGCCTTTGCAAAAGAACCTGATGCAATATATCTACAGAGCTCATTTTGTGATACACAACCACTTCCAGATATCCTTCTTACAGCTCTACAGGGATATGGAGGTGCAATTGAATATACTGACTCTCTGCCTATCTTTGAGCTAGCAAAACCCCTCCATGTTTCCCTCCGATGCCATGTTCAAACTTCCCCTCTCGAAGGGCCTACCTTGTTCACAGATGCCTCCTCATCTACCGGACAAGGGGCTGTAGTGTGGCAAAACTCAGACAGTAAGTGGAGCTCGGCTATTTTTTGTGACCGGACAGTTAGCGTACAAACATTGGAAGTTATGGCTGTAACAATAGCACTTCGTCTATGGCAAGAAATCCCATGCAATGTAGTTACTGACTCTGCTTTTGCAGCTACGCTGCTTGCACGCATGGGTCAAGAAGGACATCCGAGTACTACAGCAGCCGGACTGTTAGAAGAAGCGTTGGCCCCTCGCTCGGCTCCAGTGGCTATACTACATGTCCGCAGTCATTCAGAGGTTCCACGGTTTTTTACAATGGGTAATGCAGTTGCTGACAAGGTCGCAGGCACGTCATGCTTCACTGTCAGAACTGCGCATGATCTTCATGCATCTCTTCATATAGGTGCCAAGGCTTTGGCACGGACCTGTTCTATTCCCTTGCCAACAGCTCGTAATGTAGTTCAGGCATGTCCATATTGCAATTCTGCCCCAACTATTGGTGCAGGTGTTAACCCCCGTGGCTTAAAGCCATTACAGATCTGGCAGACAGACTTCACATGGGAACCCCATATGGCCCCTCATCCATGGCTCGCCATTACTGTAGATACAGCTTCTTCTATGATATCAGTCACTCAACATACAAAGTGCAATTCGACTGCAGCACAGAGTCACTGGGCCACTGCAATAGCCGCAATGGGGTTGCCCAGTCAGATAAAAACAGATAATGGGTCTTGCTTCATCTCAAAATCGACCCAGGAATGGCTAATAGCTTGGGGCATATCGCATTCCAGAGGAATCCCTGGCAACTCTCAGGGACAAGCAATTGTAGGACTTGCCAATCGCCACCTCAAGGAAAAGTTACGCGTCCTAGGGGAGGGGCCGGGTCGGGCCGGGGGCGGCGATGGCGCCGCGGCTGCAGTTGGAGAAGGCGGCCTGGCGCTGGACCGAGACGGTGCCGCCCGAGGCAGTAACGCGGGAGCACGTCGAAGCGGCCTACAGCGTCAGGCTGGAGCCCTGCCGGCGCGGCGCCTGCCGGTACGGGCGGGTCCGGCCCGAGCTCCCGGCCCCGGGCCTCGCTTCCTTCTCCCGCCTCCTTCCGCGGTCCCCGCTCTCCGCCTTCCCCCGGGGCTGTGTGGCAGCGGCTCTCCTCCGCTCCTGGACCTTCAGGGCTGTGGTTCTCCCCCAGCTCCCTCCGTTGCCCCCCGCGCTCCCCAGAGCGTTTTCCCGCGTTATCCCCGGAGCTTGGGGGTCCCTCTCCCTGTCTGTCCCTGGATATGCGGCCTGGGCTCGTTGGGGCCCGCACCACTCCCTGCCCCCCCCCCCCCCCCACCCCTCCCCCCTTTTGCTCCCTCCGGCTCTCAGCGTGCCCCTGGGGTTCGCTTTCCATCCTCCCTCTGTGGGCTTCCCCAGTTCTCTCACAGCCCTGTGTTTTGGGGAGGTGTGGGACGCTGCCAGTCCCCCTTGCTGTCCCCACCTTCCCCCCCGAGTTCCCAAACGAGGGGCTCTGTCCCTTCCATGGGTGACGGATGGTCCTGGTGGAGGAGGAACTGCCGGGAGAACCCCAACTGCCTGGTGGGCATCGGGGAGCACGTCTGGCTGGGCGAGATTGATGAGAACAGCTTCCACAACATCGATGATCCCAACTGCGAGCGCCGCAAGAAGAATGCATTTGTGGGCTTAACAAACCTCGGTGCCACGTGCTACATGAACACTTTCTTGCAGATGTGGTTTCTTAATCTGGAGCTCCGGCAAGCCCTCTACTTGTGTTCCAGCAATGAGCACACAGTCAGAGAGAGCATCCCCAAAGACAAAGACTATGAGCCTCAGACCATTTGTGAGCATCTTCAGTACTTGTTTGCCTTGCTGCAGAACAGCAAAAGGCGATACATCGATCCCTCTGGGTTTGTCAAAGCGCTGGGCTTGGATACAGGCCAGCACCAGGATGCCCAGGAATTTTCCAAGCTGTTCATGTCACTGCTGGAAGATATTTTATCCAAACAAAAAAATCCAGACGTTTGAAACATTGTTCAGAAACAGTTTTGTGGGGAGTATGTCTATGTCACAGTCTGCAACCGGTGTGGCAGGGAATCCAAACTCGTGTCTAAGTTTTATGAGCTGGAGTTAAACATCCAAGGGCACAAGCAGCTGACAGACTGCATAACAGAGTTTCTCAAGGAAGAAAAATTAGAAGGGGACAATCGTTATTTTTGCGAAACTTGTCAGAGTAAGCAGAATGCCACAAGGAAGATCAGGCTGCTAAGTCTTCCATGCACACTCAACCTGCAGCTGATGCGTTTCATGTTTGACAGACAAACTGGCCATAAGAAAAAGCTGAACACCTACATTGGCTTCTCTGAGCTGCTCGACATGGAGCCTTTTATGGAACAAAAAAATGGTGTTTATGTATATGAACTGAGTGCTGTTCTCATACACCAAGGTGTGAGTGCATACTCAGGGCACTACATCGCCCACGTGAAGGACCTGAGGAAACGGTCAGAAGTTATACCAGAAGAGGTTTAGGTTGGATATTAGGAGTTTCTCCTAATGGGCTCTACTCACAAAGGATTATTAAGTTAATAGGTTGTAATTAGGTTGATAGGTTATAGGGTTAGTAGGGTAGGATTATTCTGCGAATCGGGATGTAATGGGGCAAGGCTTAACCGAGAGGACAATAGCATGTATAGGCGCAATGCGGGGATGTCGGGGTGTACGCGGGTAGGGTCCTCTCGAGTTGTAGTAGACTTTCTTGAGCTTGGAGAGGGGGAGATGTTGTCAGCAACTGCGAGACCCCCCCACGGGATGTGACGCGATAGGCCCTCTCCCTGCTCTATGATTGATGTGTGGCACGTGCCCTTAGGGGCGTAGACGAAGCATATAGGTTATATAAGCTAGAGTTCACGTGTAATAAACGCCATTTTGCTGTTCATCATATTGGTGTGTGCGTGCAGTCATTTGGTCCTGGCCTGGTTTTAGGTCAGTACCGTAGGAGGCAATGCAACAGCCATCATCCTGCAGGTCATCTTATTATCTAGCCAGGAAGTACCAAGGACTTCACGAAGAAACTGAAGTTTCTTTCAAGAAACTTCAGAAAGATTCAGAAATCAGACTACATTTATAATCCCCATAGATCTGCATTCATTATTTTATTATTTTTTTTTTTAAACAGGAACAAAAACAACAAAGATGCATATTTTCTTGAATTTACTTTCTGGAGGCCCAGAGCAGACATTATGAGAGGAAATCAGCCTGGTCCTCGCGATCAGATTATTATCACAAGATGACAAGAGTAATCTTCTGCCTTCTGGGGCACATGTTTGTTTTACACCACTGTCATGACTGCTCGGGTTCGGGGTGTGGAAACAAACTGATCTCTCGGGAGATCTGAGCCAGGCAGGGCCGGGGGAACGCTGGCTATGCTGTGGGCTGAGCACCAGGAACTGCTGCCGGCAGCTCCACAGCACGGCCCAAACAAAGTCTGGTTTGTGCCTCCAAGTCTTGTGGCTGAGCCCTACAGTTCTGGGATTCTATGATAGGGAGATTCTTGCATTTCAGATTTGAGAGAATAAAAATTGCACATTTACTATCTCCGATAATAACCCATTTTCCATGAACGGTTTACACGTTCTGACTGACGCTTTTCGACTTTATCTGATTCACAAGCAATACCAAGTGGTGGTAACGCCTATGTCAGGCTTCCTTTCTGAACCAAACGCTCACGGCACAGCACGCAGCTGGCTCACACTTGACGATCTGCCTTCAGCAGGGGGCTGGGCGGGGGATCAGCCAGTAGCTGCGCCGGGCTCAGCAACGGCCGCTCGAACGGCTCAAACGGCCGCACCGCGCCGTGCTGCTGCGCCGCAGGGGAACCGGGCATCACGAAACCGGCTTCTTTGCACACGGGGGTTTTGGCTGCCGCACTCCCAGCTTCATCCGCAGCTTGGTGGAACCGTTCACCTGAAAAAGACTTGGCAAGGAGCTCGGTGGGGTGCACAAGGCTCCCACTCACTGCTTGGGATGGTGGTCGCGGATTGCGGGACGCAATTGCCTCTAACAAAAAGGCTCCGTGACTACTGATAGGCTCCTACAGATCCTATTCAACCACCTCACTGTGAGACCAGACTGCAGCATGCACTCAGCTTCTTGCACGGCAGGCTGCTTTCAGGTCTTTCTCTGCAGGCCTGCTCCCAAGGACTGTTCCCTTCCATCTGGAAATACGCTTAGTGCA